GGAAAAAATGTTAAATAAAACGCACCTGGAAGTAGTGCCGAGCAGTAACAAGTCGCGCCATACCCAAATTAGATGCAGTCTCCGGGTTCTGTGAATCATCAAAGACTCGTTGAAAGTTGAAAACATAGGTTTAAGCTACACCGGGAAGAATTCACACCTATTCGGGTGTTTGGGGATTCCGAAAAACACTTCTCACGACCCTCCTCTTGCCCCAACCTCTCTTTAAAAAACAATAACAGTCGTGCTGAGAAAGAAACCGTTTCTCTCTGTTCAAGACTTCAACAGTTCTATTAACTTTTATGAATCCCAATAATTACCAGTTCATTATAATATTTGTCAAACTCTTCCTCCAAACCAGCCGCCATTTCCGAAATGATGCTGATTCCGTGAGCGCTTACCGTCTCCTAAAGGAGGAGATGGACACAAAATTATCAAACTATATCATACATGCTATAAACTACGTTTTCATACCTGGCTGATAAAGTATAACTTTGAAAGGCAGAAACATGTGACAATTAAAAAAAACTGAGTAAGTTAGGGGACATTTCTTTGAAATTAATACAAAAATGCTTAGATTTGGCCAAGTAAAAAAATAGGCTTAGTCATACGTGGGTGCACTGTGGCGTATCAGTGGCCAGAACACAGGCCAATATTACTACCACAGGTGAAAACTGGATTGTAAAAGGCTTCCAACAATAATTCAAACTTACGTGAAATGACTGATAAACAAGGCCTATCAACTGGGCAAGCAAATATCAAAAACAACAAATCCCAAACCACTATCAAATTACAAAAAAAGGAAAAACGAAACGGTGGATACCATGTCCGAAAAATTCAATACTTCTTCTAGAGAGTTTAGCTTACAACGAGAGGATTATGGACTACTTTTACTCCGCTTATCAGTTGGCATGTTCTTCATACTGTTCTCTATACTTTTCCTTGCACACATGAAGAATTTGTTTAACAATCAAGAGCATCTTTGGTTGGTGATCATTTCCTTTATTCTCATGACCTTAATGTGTAATTGAGAGGTTATATTGTAGTGAGAATTTAGATGCTAGTAGTAATATTAAAGTCTATTTTACAAATTCAGAATGTAATCTGAGGCCAGTACCATCAACTCAGGAATCTGAATGGCCACCACAGACGCCCCTTTATCCTCCAGATACTTCACAACTGTTAACCAGAAGAGAAAGTAGCATTAGTCAAAAAAGATCTATTGGAACTACGACAACCAAAACCGGCTGTTAAGTCCCCGTTCGGTTGAATCTCTCCCAAGGGCACATCCTTAGCACAAGAAAGCGTCCCGTGAAGAGAGGTGTCCCTTCAGCGAGGGCAACAGATCCAGCGGTTATGGGGACATATTTCCTACGAGTTGCAGTCTGGGTTCCTTTTAAGGGAGGTGTCCTCTTCTGAGGGCACAACGTTGACACAAGATAGTGTCCCTTGAGTAGAAGTTATGGCACATTTTCCAAGGGATTACCAAAGGGGTCCCTAGAATGGAGCTTTCCCTGAGAATAAAGGTGTCCCAAATTATCAGCTTATCAAAAAAATCTTCTAATATAAAACCATAAGACACTGAGCAAAGAAGAGATACATTTACTACCTTTTTCACACTCTTTGTAAACATCTTCATCGCAGTCCTAAGAAGCGAAATGAATATCAAGATCAAAGATCTATTTTTTGTAATTTTTATTCACAATAGTGACCATACAATTTTATTCGTCATTCACAAATAGGAAGATAGTTTATATTACCAGATAAACAAGTTGCATGAACCAGCAGAAGAATCGATCCAAAAAATTCACCACAAATGTCTCTTGGTGGTCTGATGTAAACGAGAAAAACCACGATCGTGTGATTCATTTTAAGCGTCAAGGTCCTTCACCAGAAAGCTTTCTGTTCACAAAAACCCTTCCATGTAAAGAAAGTCTTATCACACTTAAGACAGAGACAGTCGAGGTACAATCTAACCCTCTGAGTTTGATAAGACCTATATAAGTACTTTTTTTTTCTGAGAAAAAGTTGAAATTTGTCAACGTAGTTTTGACTCGCAAGTAACAAATCAAACACCTGAAGACTAAGAACAGAAGCGCAATTAGAAAGTTTCATAGTATTACAAAATGAAAAGCACATGTGCATTTTGCTAGCCGCGCGTGATCTGACCTCACCAAGGTAAACAAATCCACAAGTCACTTCAGCGTGGACTGCGTGCTGAAAAAATTAAGGCTCCACCTCAGTTAGCAAGTTGCTCTTACAAACTAACCACAGGTGGTCGTTACGACTCTCTTTCTTAAAAGCAACATACCCTAAAGTACTTCCAGTCGATACCAAGTGTTATTCCCTCGAGGGTCGAGATGTTTTCAAGTCCTTCCAGAGTCACATCCGGCTGACCAAGGGCTGTAAATGATCACTCACTGTTAGCCATGTGACATTTGAGGCTCGAGAATTGTATGTATGCACCTCTCGCAAAAACCTAAAGCAAAATCCTGTGATACACAAGAGCCTAAAACACAGCAAGCTTTTTTAGAGTGATTGAGTGATTAAAGGCACTTCTTTGGAAATCTGGTGGTCTCGAGTTCAGATCCTTCACTTTTCCACTCATGGTTGGATTTCTTTCTTTTCTTGGCAGTTCCTTGTTGAACGCCCATAAGCCAATACGCTCGACTGTAACTGAAATATCACAACCTAGCCCGGTTTAAAGTCTTTGTATAAGTCTAATGACTCCTGAGTGCCGTAGTTGAACCCAAAATCCTTGAGAGTTTCGATACTCTCCCTGTATGTGATATACATTCATCGTAGGACAACCGCTTGGCAATTCTGTCAAGGTGCTCTGAAAATTCTTACCTCGGGCATAGACACTTATGTGCTGCACAGTGACCCCAGTCCTACCCGAGAACACAACGCAACAACCCTCGCCTGGACTTGAACCTAATCGGTTCAATCATGGGATCCTACTCACTCAACACTCGATCAACAAGTTCCCCCTCCAAATATACATGAACCCAAACAAAACGGGGACGGCTTTCTAATAAGTTTTGGCCCAACCCGAAAACCACTGCAGACAGAAAACAAGTAAACTTACTTTTGGGGTCCTCTTCGTCTTTACCAGCTAAAAATGCTGAAAATAATTCAAACGTAAAGGTTTATTTGAACAAACTCAACGCAAACAAAAAGCAGAAAAAAATTTTATAATCATTGTCAACAGTGTAAATATTAAAAGTTTAGGAAGACGCCTTATGCAAGATTCACAAAATTTATCACCAAGTCTCGAACATAAAGTATGAAATCATTCCCACTCCCTCCAACTTCATGCAGTCCTACTTACGGGGATTCTTTTCATCTTTGCTGCTCTGGGAATTCGACAGAAAGCGGGGTTTGGTAGTAAAATTGACCAGCGTGACATTAACATAAATAAAGGCTATTGGGAATTCAAAAGTTAACAAATTTAATCATTTTAGATCACCTACCATACACCAAGGCTGCATCGCTCACAGTGGCACAAAGAGGTCCTGTTAAAATAAGTTGTAA